GTGTTGGAGCGTGCACGTAATTTTTTTTTCAAATCACGTGTCGGTGCTTGTTAGAAGGCAGCTACATGGCTACAATAGTGAAGAAGTTACGCCCGAAAAACTAGTTTTTTCTTGATCAAAACCTTAATAAGCACTGCTAAACCAGCTTTCTTGTCTGGTTTCTTGACAAACCTCACTGGGCAACATCATTTCAGGGTTATTTTCGTCTAATGGTTTGTGATTTTTTTTTTCTGATTCCCCGAAAAAGGAAGAATACTAATAAATGTGTGGTATTTTTTAGTTGGTAAACATTGTCACTTTTACATAACAGGTCAAAATCCAACCATAATATTTTCCCGGGAAAAACTTTATCTTTTGCCTACCCAACATTACATTCCAATTTACTCAATGTGACTTTCTCAAGTTTTTAAAAATAAATCTTATACCAAACACCACATAAATTTGTAAATAGTTTGTCAAAATAATTAAACCTCAAAAGGGTAAAAAAAAAAAAGGCGAGGGATTGAATTTACATGCGCCCATGCGCGTGAATTGGGTTGTTGGTTCGGTGATCGGCTGAGTTGCCTTCTTCAATTATTCCTAGTGGACCCTTATTATATTCTGTCGACATTTTAATATTAGGCACAGTGATGACACATAAACCGGTTATTCTGTGCACCTTACGTCTAATGACTTTCACACACGCACACACACTTGGAGGAATCCTAATGAGTGAATTCAGATCTTAAGAACGTGCTAGTATTATAACAAAGAAAACAAAAATTTGGTGAAAGCTTCACGAACCTCCACGTGCTTTGAAAATCACTAGACATATCACATATATCTGAAATATAGTTTGATTGGGTTTAATTGCTTAAATCAATTATTTAATTATTAGAGTCCAATTAAATAACATAATAAAGAGTATTAAAATATAGATATATAGTTCATAATTTAATTAATTAATTAGGTCAATATAAACTAATTTTTAAAATAGTATTTTACTCGAAAAATAATAAGTTTATAAAAAAAACTATGTTATGTCTTTCTTTCCATCAATGCTAATGAGTATTTGTGAGTAGAGGTGCAAATATGATTATGTTAGATTTTGATACAAATAAATTAGATTTATGTAAAATATTTTAAGACTAATGTGATTTATTAGCCTGGTATAGATTAAATTATAGATTATGTCTAACATATATGTAAAAATCGAAAGGCCTAATCTATGCCTATTAATTAGTTAATTTAAGCTTGTTAAACATTCAAGACATATTGAGAATTAGAAAATAATAATTAAATAATATTAATTTATTATTTAAATTTATTTAAATAATTATTAATCTTATTTAATTTAAAATAAATAATATGATATAAATCAACCTCTGATCATAGTTGCCCGTATGAGTACTGCTCCCAACATGAAACTTGTGGTTGGTAGTAAAACACCTATTTTTTCGTCGAGAACTCTTTTTATCTTCATAGATCTCTCGGACGCACTCAATCGTTATGTGTTCGTTAATTTCAAATTTTTTCTATTTCTCGAGGAGTAGAGCAAGATTATAGATAAAATATTGTAAAAGTAGGCCTACAATTTTTTTTAAATAAGATTTTTTTAAGTCTTTAGTCAATTTTATTTTATTAAATATACTTGACTTGGCTTAACGTCGGGTATTGATAAACTGTCTAACCTTCTTTGTTCTTACATCTCTACTCACGAGAATTTTGAGTTGAATTTGAATCTTTTAAAAGAAAAAGAATATTTTTAAAAATTAAATGTATTCATAAGAAAAATTAGATCATAAATTTTGGAAAATAAATCATTTATATCCAAGTATTTTTATTATGTGGAATTTTAAATTTAATTTTTCATCAAATATTTTAAATTGTACCCTTTATTATTCTAAAAAGTCAACACAAAATTAAAACATTTTAAGGAGTAAGATAGTATTTGGTTTATTTATTATTTTTAATTTATATTAATATAATTATATAAGTATTATTTTGTTTTTAAAACTTTGTCAAAGGTTTTGTTATAGCTTGGCCAACTTTTGTACTTTGATTATAAGATTAATATTTTTTATATTGTAAAAAATAATTTTATTTTTTATATACACATAATGATATGTGAGATTTATATAAGACCATATAAAAAGAAGAGAAAAAAAAACATATAAATTTTATATTTTTATATATATATAAAATAAAATTCTCTCTCATAACATAATAAATATTAACCCCTTTGATAAAAACATCGAAGTCAAGAAAAGAAATGAATACCCTTTTGAATTGATAGTCGGTTCCAAAATTCCACCTAGTGTCTAATCCTAAAGGCCTAGTAGGAAGAAAAAGAAAAAAAACATGATCCTCGTTAGTGAACTTCAATATTCAATGGCCCCAGTAAAAGCTTGATTTGACTTAAAGATGTCTAAAACATTTTTCCACCACTGAGACTAGTCTAAGGGACAAAGGCAACCAAGAAAACTTCGAACTAAAGAGAACATAAAGGCATATATGCCACCAAATAAAGGTATATATTTTCGATTCTTTCTAATATTATTTTTTAAAACAAATTTAAAATTTAAATTTAAAATTTATCTCAAATAAAATTATCTTCTAATTTATCCATAAAAAAGAAGAAGGCATATATGCTACTGCCAACTATTGTTATTTAGGAAAATATTTTTCTCTTTTTACGTAAGAGAAGATTTCATTCCTACTCATAGATCGAATTCTGTGTCAAGTTTTTATTTTTATTTTTATTTTTTTCTAATTATTGGCCCCACTTTTTTATCTTAGTAACAGACAATTTTTCTTTTATGGAAAAAGAAAAAAACATTTCCCTATTATTTATCAAGAAAAAGTGATAAATCCTCGTAGATACCCTATTATAGCTTCCTTTGTCTCATGGAGTGATTTGAACATTTTTAGAAATGGTTGGGTTTTTTCTTAACACTATAATAATATTTAATGTTTGACTAATGAAATATGTACCCAACACAGTTAGCAATATATGCTGAATAGGTGGAAAGAGAATCTAAGTTTGATTCGCGATAAGTTTTAATTGTGACTAAATCTTGATTTAAAATTAGTCGCATAATCGACTCAAAGAATTAAAGCTTATGAGAGTCAACTCGTTTGTAAGAAGTAATTAGATATAACAAAAATATGTAAAAAAAATGAAATGAAAATATTTGAGGGTAATTTTATTATAAGTAAACACCTTTTTAGTCCCTGGCAATATCTACGAAGTCCTTTTCAGTCCCTGGCAATAAAAAAGGACCAAATTGGTCCCTGAAAGTACAAGAAAAGGGCCACTCTACATATTTGGGAGTTGACATAAGGACTAACATGACCCCTTTTTTTGTAATTTCAGGACCAATTTGGTCCTTTTTTATTGTCAGGGACTAAAAAGGACTTCGTAGATATTGACAGGGACTAAAAAGGGTGTTTACTCTTTTATTATTTAAACAAATTATAAAAATAACTTCATATTTCCATCCTTATCACCACCGCATCATAAAGATACTAAATTTTAAAAATCTAAAACAAAAAGAAAATAACAAGAATATGATTATATCTAGTAATATATTAACATTGAGAACAATTCTTAGGCTAAGATAAATATTATCTGTAGAATATGATTCAGTAAATGCTTATGCTTTACAACAAGAAGAGAAAAGATACGTCGACCTTTCAAAAGCTTTACTAAAATCACACCTCCCATCTAGTTTTAAAATATTAGACTTATTCCCTCTTATTATGTAAGTAACTATCTTTTTTGGGGGGTAAAAAAGCGACTATATTTTTACTAGGGGTTTGATGTTTTTATGTTGTATGTAGTGTTAATAAAATCGGACCGACCCGGCCGAGTCGATCCGGGAATTGATAAATCGGTCCGGTTGAAACAATGGACATGCCATGTATCAAAACCGGTACGACCTGGTCGGTTTTCATGAAAACCGGTGACCCAGTCGGTTAATCGGTGATCCGGCCCGGATCCAAAAATAAAATCCAAATTTTTTATTTTTTCAAAAAGAAAATCATAATAGATATATTTGAATATTTTTTTGCTTATTGACTTACATAAATTATGTACCTGCAACACTAATATTATCTCAATTATGCACTATGCAGAAAATTTTGATTTGATTTATAGTTAGAAATGTTGTTTTCTGAACCTAAAACTCCGTATCACGATCATTATTTTTTTGTTTGATCTTTTATTGGATAATAATATGTGATTTATTATTTTTTATATTAAAATATTTGAAATTTATATTTTTTTTAGATATTTAAGTATGTTTATAATTTTTTAATATAAATTATAAAATTACATATAATTACCGGATCATGCGATTGAACCAGTGATCCAGTAACCCAGTACCTCGACCGGGCCGATTTTAATAACATTGGTTGTATGAGTTAAAATTATCTCCTAGGCCCCTACATATATAAAAAGGTGTAGGATCCATGTGGGACCGTATAAAGAAAAGAGAGAAAAAAAAAAACAAATCTCACATACTTTTACGTGTATATAAAAGATAAAATTATGTTATATATAACATAAGAGACATTAAATCCTTTTACCAAGAAATTGTACACAAGGGTTACCGTAAATATATATGTTGTCTGCTATAAATTTTAAGGCAAAAACGAACAATGTAATTTTATCAATAGCTCAACTTTGATTCTTTTAAAAAATATTTTAATATTTATTAGTTGACAAAAAATTTTAATTTGTATATGCCGAGTGTTTTGCTTATGCGGTATTTATTTTCATATGACAAACTGTATTTTCTCTCTCAATATTTTATAAAAAAATTGAAGCTTTTTTTTTATTATTATTATTATGATTATTTTTGCTGTGTGTGTTGGTTGTGGGGAGGATAAATTAGAGTCTATAATTGATAATAATATAAGGTCAATCTCTTACTTAGTTTATCATAAAAAGTGAAGATCCTCAAAAGAATGTGACAATGAAAGGAGAAGAAACCTTTAACTTCTGTAAGTCTCTTTGTATCATTCTCTTCATAAACTGATTAGTCAAATCATTTGCTGTATCCACATTTCTCCCTCTCGAGTAAATATTGTTATCGCATGTAGAAAAGGATGCCTTCCTAGTGGAAAAGCACATATATCAACAGTAATAGGGAAAAAGAATTGAGGGTGGATTCTCTCATGTGAAAAAATGATCATGTGGTCATGTTACTTGATCACAACCACTCATTGATGATGAGATAAGAGAGAGAAAAATGTATAATTTTTAAATGAGTGGTTATGATTAAATAACATGACCACATGACCACTTTTTCACATGAGAGGATTCACTCTCAAAAAAATTAGAGAGGGTGCTAAAAGAAAATACACTGTGATAGCAGCAAACCAGAGGTATTTTAGTTGTACCAATCAAGGAAGAGGAGCGAAAAAGTTAACACAAATAAAAATAATATAAGGAACGTCCTGCTGCTGCTATTCCTCTGAATGGCTTGTGAGAGTTCTTTGTTACCTAGCTCAACATTCTTAGTAGCTTCGACAGCCTGTAAAAGAAAGCAAAAGAACTATTAGTCTATTACATTTCTCAGAAATTGGGAATGCACCCATTTTTGTGGAGAATAAACAAATAAACCAATAACAACTGCATTACAACTGTCAAACCTATGAAAAATATTACGCCTGTAATGTATGAAATAAGGGAAAAAGGTGTGTCATTTTAAATGACACACCTTATATCCTTTCACTCTCACAAAGAAGTGGGACCCACATTTTTAAAACTTTTTTCCCCCACTCTCTCTCCTATGATTTATCTCTTTATCTCACTTAAAATGACCAAACTTTGTGTCCTTTAAAATGATACACATTTTTCCCATGAAATAATACATAGAATGTGGATATTAGGATTATTAAATATATTGATTATTTATTGTAATTTTTTTAATAAATTAAATTCAGGTTTTTAGTCATTTAGGATTACTGGGTTATCAAGTGGGATTTGCAGATTTAAGCCTTGAATTTGAGATTGAATCAACTATCACTGTTCTGTTTCTCCCTATGTGATTTCTTTCTTTCCCTGTTCTACTCTAATTCTCTCCCCCTTCTACATAATTTTCTTCCAACCCGTTTCACACCATCTAGCTTTCTCAAAACTAAAAATTTATGCTCGACCTAGGGGGGGAAAAATAGCTAGAAACATTGAGCAACAAAAACATGAACTAGGAACTTAAGGCAAATATATGGTCGAGTGTGGTCCATGAACAGCTTGACAAATATATAGATATAGATAATAGCCTTAAAAACTCAACAAAAAGTAAGGAAAATATTAGATTAGAGATAAAAATATTTATATCTCTAATAGAAAACAAAGGTGAAGAATATGATATGTTATCTAACCTGCTCATACAGATGCTCAATTTGCTGAGCTTGTTGCAAAACATGTGTAGACATGAGGTGATTTAATGCAGACATTTCCACCATCTTTGTTTCGGTTTCTTGAACAGTATCTAGAAGACTAGTCAACTCCACCTACAGCAAAAGGAACATTGGCAAAGGGATATTTACGAGAATCTTAAAGCCTTAAATTAAACAAATGACTCATCAAATGCAGAACAAGTCCTATACAAACTCATAAGGATATTGATTTTTATCACCTGAAGGGCACGTGTTTCGTCATCCAAAATTTGTTGTTGAACTCTTAGAGGCTCACTGCGTAGCTCATCAGGTTCTCTGAACTCCACATCACCTGATTTAGAGGTTTCTGCAGTGTCATTCATGGTCACACGATTAAGTTTTCTTCGAGGTATTGCTCTATTAATAGCATCCTGGAAGCGCACAGCTCTGAGCTGATCAAACTGTGCCGTAACTGCATGGAGTTTCTCACTTAAAATTAGAACCTAAAAAAGTAGCAAAGTAAGCATTAACATACAAAATAAAATAAAATAAAGGAGCAAATAACCATCTCAATTTATGAATGTAGTAGTATTCAGGAGTTCAAAAGAAAACTTTAATAAGCATTGACTGGGCATAAAGGATCATAATTGTCTCATGGCCTTTTTTTTGTGTGTGTGTCTCTCTCTCTCTCTCTCTCTGTGTGTGGTTTGACTTTTGAGCAATATAGACTGTTCAGAATAAAATTCAAGTGGGGTTCAGTTGTTATTCAGTGGCTTATAGAGAAAAAATGAGAATAACAGTGTCCCACAGAAAATAAGGTATTTGTAAATTAGTGACAAACTAGGACAATAGCTAAGAAATCTTTTAAGATACAAGCAAATTTTACAATTATATGAACATAAGTAACTAATAATTGAAAAAATTAACAAGCACAAGAAGAAGTCCATACCACCCCATGTTTGTGGGCAATGGTGTCGGCATTAGACTTAGCAGCTGCAATGCCAAGCCAACCTTTTGGATTTTCCTCTCCACGATATATATTATTCTTAAGAACATCAATTTGTTCCTGGCAAGTTTTAATGAAAGCACTAACCTGCACAAAATTGATTACAAAATAATGGTTAGCTATAAGCAAAACTCCATACAACTTTTCAAGGTAGCTTAACTAATTTATATACAATTGAGGTCTAACAGTTCCGTTTGACCCATAAAGAAAGAAGGCTTAAAGAAACGATATGTAGGCAGGAGAAGTAGTTGATGATAGCAGAAATTAGTGTTAGTGCCAGCCTAGTAAGAGACAAAATCTATTTACCAGTTAGACACATAAAGTAAATAGGTTTCACAGGCCAAATTGCTTGACAGGCTTAAAAAAAGTTCTATTTATACATTGTTGTGAGCGAGCATTGATGTTGACAACAGATACAAAACCAAGCAAAGCAGTATGTGAAAATTCAAATTTTTACTGATATATGGGAGCCACTCTGGATGGAAGTAAAATGAGAGAACCAATGTGATCTAATAATCACAGCACTAGCAGTCAAGGTAAAAGTTGTTAGTACCCTAAGAAGAACCACAATCTAGTGACATATATAAAAAAAAAAAGACTTCACAGGCAAATTGCTAGGTTGGCTAAGAAAACAAACTCATGTCTTATGTTGTAGTAAGAAAGCGGTAAAGCATCAATGTCAGCAGGAAGCATAAACTTAAGTAACATGTGAAACTCCAACCTTTTACTCAGAACCAATCTGATCTAATAATGATAGAGATCAAAGCATGAAATGTAATACCAATCAGCACTCTCTAATTACTAATTTAAGATATTGTAATGCTTTCAAAACCAGGGTCTGAGGTAAAGTCACATAGCTTACTTCATGCTCAATGCTATCTCTCTCCTTTTCAGTTGTGCGGTGCAGATCCGTATAATCCTTTCTATGCTTCAACAAAAACTGTTCCAATTCGCCAATACTCTCGAGCTATAAACAAAGAAAAAAGGTCACGAAGAAAGAACAAGGAGAAGAAATACCAAACAAACATTAGTTAAAATTAGCGCTGCTTCCATTGCTTAGTGAAACAACAACAATACAACTCAATAAGGCGGAATAAAAAGAACCATTGCTGATAATGCAGTGATTAATCTTCCCACAAAGAAATAAGGCCAAAACAAGAACCTACCGTCTTCAATGCAGCTTTGGAAAATGGTGACCTTTGCCGAGGTTTATGAATAATGAAAGATGCCATAATGGACGCCAATTTAGCCTGCCAAAACAATCACACCACATAAATAATGGAAATCAAATAACACTCATTGAACCCCCCCCCCCCCCCCCCCCAACACACACACACAAAACCCCCCCCACCAAAAAAAACTTCACTTTTGCAAAACAGAAGATTCAAAGTTCAAACCAATTCACATTGATCCAGCAACAAGTAGCCAATCCCAAAAGCACCATATTCATGCAAATCCTAATTAGTGTTTCGATCTAAAAAAATAATGGATTTTTTTTAATTGTAAAAGTAAAAAAAATAAAAAAATTGATTAGAAAGTTATGAACAAAACAGTAAATGAGAATTGGGAACAAAAATGAATTGGGGAGTTTCGAAGCATATATACCTCATCGTACCCCAAAGAGCGAGCACTCTGGCGTAATGCATCTTTGAAATCCTCGGTTCTGTCCCTTGCCCTTGCCATCAATGGGAGTTCGGAAAAGCAAAAGAACCAAAATGTCGTGCAGCGTCTCACGATATGATCGATAAATTGAGCTTCGATTTCGCAATTGCGATTATTTGTATCGTGCCGTTTCGCTTGAAAGATTGAAATATTGAACAAAGAAATGCGTTGATTGGAGCTGCTAAGGGAACGCGAAACTCTGCAAAACCTAACGAGATGGAAGACGAAGAAGATGATACCTTCTTCGATCAAAACGCTTCGTTTCTAAATAGAAGGGATATATTACTTTAACATTCTATCTTCTAAGATTGTCAATATTAAACTTATAAATCTCGTGAGAAATGAACATAAAAAAATTATTTATTATTTTATAAAATGATATATTAGTTAATTTCAGTTAATATCTTTGTAATTATTAATATAACGATGAGAAAAAAAATTACAAAATATAATTATTTTTTATTATATTCAAAATATATTTAGATAATAAATATTTTATATTTTTTAAATATCATATTTGTACGTCAAGTTATTACAAAGTGTTAATTCTGTAAGAAAAAATGTAAGTATTGATTTATTGCAAAGAAAAAAATTCATATATATAAGTGAAATGCGGCTTTGACTTGTAGCGTGTTTTATAAAAGGGTTTAAATTCTCTCCTGCCACGGAAATTTTTCAACTCTCCTATTGACACTGCGAAATTTGTGTTTATTTTTTTAATTTTTTAATTTTTTTACAAATAACAGGTCCTACCATTTTTTCTCTCAACAGGAAAATGAATGGTCTCTCCTGTCAAAGGAGAGACATAAAACCCTTTATAAAATAGTATATATATATATATATATATATATATATATATATATAGGGTTTGATGTTTGTCATTTTAAATGACATAAGTTATGTCATTTTAGAAAAGAGAAAGACACAGAAAAACAGAAATCATAGGAGGGGGAAAGTTGTTGGTTTTTTTTAATTTAAAATTCAAATTTTCTGTGTCTGTATCTCTTTTAAAATGACATAACTTTCTGTCATTTAAAATGACAAACACTTTTTCACACACATATATATATATATATATATATATATATATATATATATATATATATATTTTGGTAGGATTCTTTGATATTAGTGTCAAATTTTAAAATTTAACATGTTATGAATTCATATATGAGGCTCATTTGTCACCAAGCCCAACAAGAGACAATCTAAATATAAATATGATATAATTAAAGGAAGATATCAATCAAACATATCAATCATAATACAACAACATTAAACATAGGCTTGGGTTGTTGGAAGAGGTACAGAAGGTCCAGAATCTCATACCCACATGTAAACTCAATAAATAGGAGGTAAATGCTACATGTATAATTATTCTCTCTCTTTGACTGTTATGTTGTTACTGTGCACACACACCTGACACCACCCCTTTGGCGAAAGCTGTTTTTTATTCTTTGTGCACAGTGATATGCTAAACTGAAAGGTATTTAACTTATAGATACCTTAAAGAGAGCACTAGATCTAAGAGCAATTAACTAGTCCATTGGGCTAGACAACTCTGTCTTCAGGACAGAACATTGGCGCCATCTGTGGGGGGAATGACTAAGCTGTTATTCCCACGATCACGATCAAGAATGGCGGTTCTTACGAAGAGTAGCTGTCAATTGTCGCCGCATTATAATCTACCGCTGAATCTTGTTGTGGAGGAAATAAATTAACCACAAAATCAACCAAAGAACGAGATTGATTATGACGTTGTTCACGTGAGCGAGGACGTCTCAGACATAGCCTCTACACCTGCGCTAGCAAACCAAACTGGAGCTTCTCATCCTCAGCCTACAGATGCAGTAGCCCGCGTTGCACTTGCTGCAGATCCAGACACCCGCCTTGCACAGACCACGATTTACTGCGATCTTAAGGCGGATGGAGAAGATGGAAAATCGTAATCATCTTAAGTGACAGGAGGATATGAGAAGGTTTCAAGAGATGGAACACCGTAAACATCTTCAGTGAGAGCAAGATGTTAGAAGAATTCAAGAGATAGAAGGGCATTTTGTAAGAACCCACACTGCTAAATTAAGAATTTAAATAATTTAATTATGAGTTTAGGAAATAATTCCATAATTGACTTTGGATAAATATGGAAAGAGCATAACAATTAATATTAAGTCACTTTTCTCAAGGAAAGTGTAAACACTGTGTATTTTGCGCTATAAATGGATACTGGCGAAGTAATCTGAAAAATAAAAATAAAAATGTGAATATTCGTAGAAAAATATCTAGGTTAAGAATATCAAGTTTGGGGTAAAAACAATAAGCAGTGATGTCAGAACTAATACCGACTATTTTGCTGTATAAAATGCGTACCGGTGAAGTATCTCAAAAAATTATAATAAAAATATAATAATTCGTAGAAAAATGTCTAGGTTACGAATATAAAGTTTCGTAGCAAAATGATTAGCAGAGCTATTAGAACTAATACTATTAGTTTAAGTTAATAACCTATAAATAGCTAAATGGCACTAAATCCTAGAGTATTTTATAACATATGTCAGCCGCCCCATTATTGTTGTGTGGCTGCTACGGGTGTTCCTTTATAGTGCCTTAGCCTTGCCTCCATGAAAGTTGTTATTTTCTCACCAAACCCCATCAAGTCTCCATCTTATCCACTACTATGCCATGGAATCATCTTGTAGAAGAAAAATGTGTTTTGGAGGTGTTTAAATTCTGTTTGGTGAGGGTGTGAGGGTTGCCACCATTCTTTCTTGGTTAAGAGTAATTCCCTCACTTCTTGGAGCATCAAGGTGCCATCTTGGAGGGGAAAGAACCAAGCTTTCTCCTTGGTTTTCATGCACCCTTTGGTCAGTGGTTTGGAGCAACTTCAAAGCCCTTCAAGTTCCCTCATTTTTCTGTTTTGGTGAGCCCAAGGTACATATCAAACATCCCTCTTGTGTTCATGTGAAAAGAATGACATTTTATTTGTTGTTCATGATAGAAAGCATGCTTTAAGTTAAAGGCCGAGTCTTAAAGTTGTTTTGGTGTTTAAAACGTGTTGGTATGTTAATTAAATGACTAAACAAGTTTGGGAGATCATTGGAGGTCAATTATACCTTAAAAACTCAATTTTTGCATTCTGTTGAAGAAGTATTCGAATACTTTTCGGACAATATTCGAATACTTTATGGAAAAAAAGCAATAATCGAATACTCCTTGAGACAACAGCAGCCTAGTTTAGAACAATCGAGATATCTCAAGCTACAGATATCCATATTGAGTGAGATTTGGACTTATGTGAAGCTAACACATAGGGCTACAACCCTGTAAAATTTCAAATCCATTGGACAAGTGGATTGATCGCGGTTTGTGTTTGAAGTTGCTGCCTTGCTGTGGAAAATTCTGTTTGTCGCAGTTATCTTGAGAAAAACATAATCGGAGTTATATAACTCCAAATGAGACATAAAATATGTCGTTGGAAAGCTTGATATGTCTAGTTTAACATATTAAAATATTATAATTTTTGGTAAAGAGTTTCCACTGCAGTTTTAAAAATGGTAAAGACGGTTTATGCTTGGGGCTTTGGGAGAAGCATGCAGTACGCTAAAAGAAAAAGAAAACATGTTTTATTTGACTTGAAATTATAGGATATGATTATTGATGATGTGTTTGCCATTAAACCAGATTGTGACTTGTTGGATTGTTTGATTATTGGTGACCACGTTGATACTGAGTTGGTATTAGAGGACTTTACCGATATAGGTAAGTTTGTGGTCTTCGATTTTATCCGTTGCTTGTTCTACCCATGGGGGATTGATTTATGTGCATGGTGTGTTTTTTGAAAATTATATCTGTTATGTTATGAGTATTGGATATGATGTTGAGCTGGATTATGAAATTATATTTGTTTATGTTATGAGCATTGGATATGTTGTTGAGCTGGATTATGATATAGTGCATTTGCCATATGTTATGTATGTGGGGTGCTCCACCCTAAACGGTAATCCCTGAGTATGTGAGCCACATACAAGATGATAAATTCGTGGGTGAGGTACAGGGGAGGAGTCTTGTACTGTGGGTTATAGACGTGCATAATCCCTACCTTTTATTCTCTGGCCAGTAGGATGCATATATATATGACATGGACATATATGGCATTGCACATTCATTTGATATATTACATGGCATGCTCATTTTATATACTGCATTGTTTAGTGCTATTAATGGCCTGGTATAGCCATTCCCCTTAGCTTGTTATTAATCTACTTCTGTATATACTGTATGCACTATTTTAAAACTTATGTTATACCTGTAAGTGAGCTTGCGGTGGAGGACCCCTTGAGGGCCTTTTGTCTTACTGAGATTTCTGTTAGAAATATCACCCTTTTTGGGGAACATTTTCAGGAGATGACGTTCGTGAGATGGACACTGATAGAGGCAAGAAATCAGAATAGAGATTTCATTATTGTTATGAGCCATGCATATAATGATTATGTATTTTGCCATGATGAGACTTTATTATGACTAGACTTGATTGGATTCTGTTGTTATTTGAGGTGAGCATAAGGGTTGTCTATGCCAATATTAAATGACCTATTTATTTGTTAACATGAGTATTTGTATTATAGCATCATGAGTTATGGATGCTTTTTAATTGTTACTTATGAGTACGAGGTATTCAAGATTTATTTTAGTGTTGCAATTACATAAGGATGTTATTAAAAGGAAAAGCTAATCAACAATGAGGATTAACCTTATTTATTTGAAGAAAATAGTATATTGCTTCCTCGATTAATTATTGTAAGCTGCGCTTTTAAATACCATTTGTATGTTAATGCACAGGCTACAGACAGGGTGTTACACATTTGATGCAAATAAGGAATCTGGGACGTGATGGAGACCAGATCCGAGATGTAGAGAACCGTAGAAGGGAAACTCATGGAGAAATTCGTCAACTCCGGGATGGTAATGATCATGTCCAAGTTAATACATATCATAACCTGGATACTCAAATCCAGGTTGGGGTCATTGAAGTACAAGATGTGGCTGATACTGGTGGGATTTCAAATTCTAATAATCAGATCTGAGTTGAGAACACCAGTGAAGGTCACAGCCTGGATAATAATCGCAATGTGAATGTGATAATTCTTACCCTGAATGCTGGAGCAGGAAGGACTATGGAGATCAACTGGGGTTATATGCATCACAATCGAGATACCAAATTCCATCATAAACCGAGATCATATTCAAGGTCGCGTTGAAGTTGAGGCATACAGGAGGA